AGTTGATATTGCAATGGGCACAAAATCCCCTATTTAGTACTTACTGGTCAAGGGTCTTATAATAAATGTCCAGATCCTTGTTCACAAGCTCTGTTGTTCTCATAACAATCATCATTTCTCTATACTTTTCCTCAGCATCACGAAATTGAGGTTCTCGAAGTTCTTTCTTAAAACGAATAATTTCTTCCTCATAACCTTTCTGTCGCCCTAATGCCACACTGTGATTTGTTTTTATATTTTCTATGTTCTCTTGCAACTTCTGGTGTTCACTGTAAAAGAGAAAAATGACAAATGAGAACCATTTTTTAACTTTTAGCAACTGAAGTGGAAAAATCGTAAATCTCTTTAGATAGGTGTCATTCTCTGTAGCAATCAGTATAAGAACAGTCTCTCCTTGCTTTTTATTTAAGGCTTCAGTACTAAAGAAAATTCTCTTCCTTCCAAATCTCTGCAGCACATAGGTGTTTGAACAGCTAATTTTTATGGGCTAAATAGGGAAACCTCACCACATGTGAGCACTGAGAAAGTACCTGACTTTTAGACGCTGACTAACCTCTGTAAAACACTCTTATTGATTAATATTACAAATTCACAAATTTCTGATTGTGAACTAAGAATGCACAATTACCAACACTGAGAAGTTATTGGATAATAGACTTCACCGTTTTGCTTATAATATGTCAGAGACACAATACAATTTTATCCAAATTAATTTTCTGCAGTAAAATTTACTAAAAATTTTGACTCCTCTATGAAAACTTTCTATTCCACAAGTATAAAACCATATACTGACCAAAAAGAAGTAAAATACCTAAAGTTTTCTGATACTTTGGCAGAGTACACAAATTTCAATGTATGCTTTAAAATTTTTCATTTATTTAACAATCACTTTTTAACCAACCACCCTCTTTACGTGCCAACCATTGCTCTCAAGTTTATGGACATCCTTGCAGAGTTGGTCTGAATATGTTTTATTGACATTTCTGTTGTGTTCTGGTTGAAGAAAGGTTTGAAAAAGATCAATTGTACTTAGTAATCTGAATGAATCTAAAAAGCATTGTTATGTACCTATCACAGAAGGAATTTTAAAAATATCTGGTTTTGGTCCTTAGTTGCAAAGAATAAATTATTTCATTTAAAAGCTTCTTATAAAAGTTTTACTTTTCCAGCTTGTCACACAATGCGCTAACACTGTATAGCGTTGAAGAGCTGAGGGTTGGGAGCTAGGAGAGCAGGGTCACATTTCTGGCTTTCATCATAATTTCCTCTGTGATTTTTCTGTGCCTCAGCATCCTAATGCATAAAAAATGAAGAGGCTGACAATGACAAGCTTTTCCAGTTACAAAGTTAGATCTCCTTGATATATGAAAGAGATTTTAAATAGCTAAACCAAGAGTGCTTACAATAACACAGGATTAACCAATTGTTAGGTTTTACAAATTAACTTAGAACTTCACCTTACTATATCCTTTAGGAAAACCTAAGCATTCTTTGATTCAGATTTCTGTATAAATTCAAGACGACAAATGAAAAAGCTACAAGGAAGGGTTGAATGAATGAGAAGCCTAGATTTTACCAGCTGAGGTGATTCAAAATCTAAGTATTTGGCTAGTACAACCTTTTATGCCAGACTAGTCCCTTAGCATCAACCAGGTTCTTACAGAATTCCTAATTCTAAGGCAGACATGGCAGGAACAAAATCTTTTCTGCTGTACCAGAAAGGTAGCAACTACAGTAAGTACCAGTAAGACCAGATAAAGGCAGCATCAGGTTCATTTAAAAAAAAAAATGCTCTGGTGGGCACATAATCACAACTAGGAAAATCTAGGATGAATCTTCACTGACAAATTACTCTGGCAGTAACTCCACCGGCAACAGCACAGACTGCATGAGCTCTGAGCCGGGCAGGGTCATGTTCAGGACCACTGCTCTGTGCTGCAGGCTGGCGACATGTCTGGGGACTTGGCATGTTTAATACTGAATAACTACAGCCCATCACCATGGTGATTACCAATTCCACATCACTTCTTCAGTAATTCAGTTCTCAAGGCCATGAAATAAATATATTTGTATCAAAACCCTGTTCATCTTCCTGTAAGTCTCAAGGGATACTAGACTTAGGCTTAAATTCTTTCTAAAAACAGGTATTTAATATTCTTCGCATTTCAATAATAAAAACTTTTATTTAAAGATTACTTTTTAAAACGTACTTTTTCATTTGTAAAACCTGCATTTGACCCATTTCCTTCAAATGCTGTTTCCTTTCTTCTTCAACTTCTTTTAGTTCCTCGTTTCTTTTTCTTAAAGTAAGGTTATCCTGTAGCCACCTTTCTTGTATCTAAAAGTAAATATTAAATCAGTTAACAAAAATAACCAAGTCACTGACATGAGATCCGTAACAGGCAACTGCTGACAGGCAGTGCTGACTGTGCCTTGTTCAGAGTCGTACCAAATTCAACAGAAGGAGAACAAGCCACCGGGAAGGAAGCTCCAGGTCTGGACTGATCTGAACAGCCCACCCCACTCAGTCACAAGTGTGACGCCTCTTGTAGTGCAGCGTTTACTGCCCTTTACTGACCGTGATCTGAAAAACAGGTCTCGTGTTTCATGGGGAGTCCCATAATAAATGATTTGAGCATTTATCTTTGTATACTTATTTACTTATAAAGTATTAAAATATCTAGTAAAAATGCTATTAAATAGTATTCATCATAAAACATACACAATGGAAATTTAAAGTGATGAAATAAAAGATATGACTAGACATTTTAATATTTAATACCTCGACCGTCTTGCATAGGAACCGCGTGAGGGAGCCTACTGACCTCACAGATCGCAAGAGGTCAATACTATCGAAGTCTCCCCCAACCTTTTCTTCCACTTGTCTCCTAACATGTATCAAGACTGTGAGATACCGTATGTCAGACACAACCTCTACCTTCGGGTAGACAATGATCACATAAGGCAGTAAAAAGTGCCACAAAAGTAGTATTTATCTATGAACTTCTTCATACTTTCCTGGCTACTGAATTGAAATTTTTAAAAACTGGCTCTTTTTAGCTTTGTCCTTGAAAAGAGACCCAATCACTTAGCAGTAGCAGAAGCAATACCACAATTATTTCAGTAGTTTTCCTGGTGATTATGATGGACTGTGTTGTCAAGAGACAAACATTAGAAAACAATTTATAAGTTGACTCTTTGGAATTTAGAAAAAAATCACCTTCTGCAGAAACAATGGTGGTCCGCCCCACAGAAGCCTGTATGTAGAAAACTTATCTATGCCAAGTTCAGAGTCAGGACTTCCCACAGATGGAGCCGGAACCCTCCTGCAACAGCGCTTGCAGCTGAGATGAACTCAGCAAGGTGGGAGAGGACGGAGGGGCAGATCTTTGGCGATCGATATCTTGCTGCTGACAGTAAAGGCCGGGGGTAGGTGGGAGTGACAAGGGAAGTCGAGAACTTCTCTCACATGCTTAATGTTCACATCCAATCCTGCCCATGTATGAATCACTACTTTTAGCGTTTTTTTTTTTAATAGTCAGAAAGTAAGGCTACTTTCATTTTTCCTGGAAATAATAATATAAATATACAGTTAGCCCTCCATATCCACAGGGCCACAACCACAGATTCGACCAACTATGGACTGAAAATATTTGGAGGGAAAAATAACAATACGATAAAATAACACAAATTTTAAAAATACAGTATAAAATCTACATAGCATTATGTTGTATTAGGTATCATAAGTAATCTAGAGATGATTTAAAGCATACGAGAGGACGTGGGTATGTTACGTGCAAATATTATATATGCTATTTTATATAAGGGAACTTGTGCATCCCAGATTTTGGTATCTGTGGGGGTCCTGGAGCTAATCCCTGCAGTTACCAAGGGAGGACTGTATTTATCTATTAAAGGCATTATTATAAGCAGTGAAAGATGACTAAAATGACTTGATTGTAAGTGTCCTTCGTTGCTAAGACAATCTAACATATCAGTGTTGCTGCTACGACTCTCCACAGTTTTTCCATAGAGGACTGTCCTTGTACTTTTTCCTTGTTAGGAACATGGGACTGTGTCACTGCTTATTTTCATCTGATACTACGTAACACCTGAATCTGCTTTCATGAATGCATGAAAGGACTCTTTCAAGTGCTATCACATTTTTAGGCCAGACTGATTTTTGGCATGAAACACTGTTCCTGGTCTGTTTGCCTGCATGATTACTAGAAAGCTAGGCATTTCTTTCTTTTAGGTCAAAGTCTTATTCTTACTTAAGTTTTGAAAGACAGTATATAGCACAGTAGTTAAAACACATAGGCTTTGAAGTTAGGTACATCTAGGCTCAAATCTCAGCGCTGTAATTTTCAAACTAGAAAACAGGCAAATTAACTTAAATTCTGTGAGCCTCAGTTTGCCAGTAACATGGTGATAATGATACCCCTTATCATAAAGAGCTACTGTGGGGATTAAATGAATTAGTGTATATAATCAATAGAGTGTCTTGTTCAATAATTGCTAGTAAAATGCCTTTTGGGTCAAATTTGTGCTTTGTACTTTAAGTAGTGAGAGTTCCAATTATAGTCTA